CTTATGGATCATTTCCTTTGGGCGTGTGATCGAATGAACCTGTTATGAAAATGTGCATACATTTTTCACTTCTCTTATATACTATCTGGGAAAGGAATGGGTGGGTTGTAAGACAGAAGTATCTTATGTTCCCTCCAGCAAAGCTGGAGAGTTCCAGTTGCTCTACTTACTCACAGCACTTGATGTTGTCAGTCTTCTTAATAGTCGCTCAGTGGACGTGCGGTGCTACCTACCTTGTTTTGATTTTCACTTCCCTGGAGACCTGTTGAGCAGTTGTTCGTGTGCCTGTTGACCTTAGCGAAGTCTTCTGTAGGGCGTCATTTGCCCTTTGTCATTGGGCTGTGATGAGTATGAGTTCTTTGGATATTTCCTCTTGCACTCATTCCCAGTAGGGTCTTAAGTTGCTTTCGCCACGATCACCAGTGACCTCCTCCACTTCTAAAGGCAACGGCCAGTTATCAGTTCTCATGTTAACCCACCTAAAGGTGACACTCAACACAAGAGCAGTCACACACCACACAGCGACATTTGGGACAGTAATGGCCCTTACGTGCGCAGTGGGCTAAACCCCCACTTTGTGTACGTAAAGGTTGAAACGTTCCCACAAGACAGAGGCGACAAATGACACATCGCTAAGAACAGATCCCCACCGTAAAGTGGGGTGTGGGCTGGGACCCCCGTGCCGGGACCCCCCCTTGTTCCCCTGCCTTATTGGCCTCCTGCTCAGTCTCCTTTTCGTCTTCCTCTCCTTCCTAACGTCTGTTAGTGTGCTGCTGGCCTCAATGTTTAGTCCTTTTTCCCTTTTCTATCTTTATTCACCACCCCCTTCCCTTCACCCCAACCCCATCCCCCCACCCCCTCCCGCTCTCATTGATGTTACAGTTTGACATTTTGACTCTACCTTGAAGCATCCAAATTCTGGGCTTCTCCACCCTCAGACCAGCTGCTGTCCAGCCCTGAGACCTCGGGGCCCCTTGGGCCCCTCATCCTGCAGTACACCTTTACCTATCAGCCACCCTGTTGTTTAATGCAAGCCAGAACCTGCTTCTCCTCTGCTCAGAGCACTCTGACCCTCCTTTCTCCCAGAAGCAAAGCCACAGACTTGGTGCGGCCTACGGCTCTTGAGGGAAGCGCCTGTCTCCTCACCTTGCTCCTGCTCCTCTGGAGCCCCCCATATCAGGGGCGGGTACCCGAGAGCCCCTCTGGACATCTTCAGGGTCACCTCCTCCTGCTTCACCTCCGCTGGGAGTCTCCCAGCTCAGGCAGCTGAGCCGCTGACCTCTGGAGGTTTGCCCGACGTGGGCTTCCTCTGAGCGCGCCTTCACGTACTCAGGCTCCCATATCTCGCCCGTCAGCAGGGCCCACGCGGGTCACCGCATGGCCACCGCTGCCACTGACCAGTCCCCACTGTGGAAAACTGGCCTCCCGCCAGGCCCCAGCGCTTCCCGAGTCCAGGTTCCCTAGGCAGAGTCCCCTAAAGGACTTGGGCAACAAGGGGCCAAGTCTAAGCCACCCCAGACACCCCAGGGCTGGACCAGTGCAGGAGGAATCAAGACCCAGACAGGGAAGCCCTCAGCTGTATTCTTCTCACTTCATTCCGGCCCCTTTCTGCCTCAGCAGGAGGTTATTTTAGCAACACATTTGTTCATCCCCACTTTTAAAATTAATCATGTCTAATTTTTATTCCTCTTCTCTGTGTTCTTGTTTCCTTTTCCAAATACCCATCTGTTTTTATTTTCCTTATTCTCAGGAAGTCATTTTATCCAGATGTTTTCCCTTAAACTCTTCAGGAAGGAAGTGGCTTAGGAAATGATTGAATCGGTGATTGTTACGTAAATCACTATGCAAACCACCCACCAAGAGGCTGGGTGGTTAAATCCTATGGTGATAAGGTGATGACACATACAAGGATAGAAAGCCCTTCAGCTGATACTAGAAGTCTAAGGAAAGTGTGCAGCTTAGGTGTGTGGTGACGGGTGGTGATTTTTAATGTTTTGTCATCCTCTTCCGGAGCCTCGTGTCTAAGCCAAACACAAAACTGAAGTCCTAACCCGATGCTTCCGAAGGATGGCGGTGGCTCAGGCCAGGCCCGCTGCTGTTTAAGGAGACTCCGCGCGTGTCCAGTGGGTGGCGCGTTAGACCACAGAAAGTCTACGAACAGCGGGCCCAGCGGTGTGGATCAGAGTTAGGCATCAGGGTCTGTTTGGATTCACCGTCTGGTGTTTCAATCAATGACTAAAGGCTTGGGAGTGTTTGCGATGCTTACAGCTACATCAGCCAGTCAGGGTCACAGATGGCTACTAGGTGACAGAAGCAAAATTCAAAACTATTTGAGGAGACTGTTGTGAGGCTTCGAAACAAGGGAAATAAAGTGTAATGTCAATAAATGTAAATTTTAACCTTTGTTTCACGTTGTTTACTGGAGAGAGCAAGAGGGAAAGGAGAAGTCTGAAGTCAGCTAACGAACTATGATTTTTGCTCACTGTGAGCTCACTCCCAAAAGCCCAGTGCTAGATCATACACAATTGAAGAAGGGGGGGCCCACAGGCTGTGTGACTGGATCATACACAATTGAAGAGGGGGGGGGCCCACCTCAGGGCTGCCTGCCTCCCCTGCCTGCTGCTTTAAGAGTTTACAAACACCCCCCATATTTTTATTGAGGACCTGTTATGTGCTCAGCACTGTCCTGGACCCAAAGACACAAAACTATGAAAGCCTAAGTACAGAAATTTGATTTTTTTAGAGACTCTATCCGATTTACCCCAAAATAAAATGCCGGCCCTTTATTATTACACGTGATGATTTAATTGTGTATTTGTTGCCACAGTTTCATAATACAATTTGAGGTGATGAAAATTCAGTGCCAATAATAAAGTTGTCGTCTTCCCTTCAATTTTTAATTTAAAATATCAAAAGAATATGCATAAAAAATGTCCATTATCACCAGGTGTTTGGGACATTAAGTAGCCAATAGTGGACAGGCAGCGACAGTTCCCCGCACTCGCCACCAGATGGCGCCAAAGCAGCAAAAACTGATTCCCCACAGAAACAACCGCTGTTGAAGTCGTAGCTTTTCCAGCCGAATACATATCCTGCTAGTGGTGCACTTGAAATCGTAGAAAATTTTTCAAAATCACAATCGAACTTGCCAGTTTTTGCTGTACCGTGTTTGGGGGATTTGGGCCAGCGCTCCAGAACCCGCTCTCCCGGCTTCCTGAGAGGTGAGGGCGCCTTGACCCGCAGCCCTGGGCTGCTGGGGGAGGAAGCTTCAGGGTTCAGGTGCAGGTCGTTGTGCTAAGTCTCATTCCTCATGGGAGCTCTTCCCAGCACAGGTCAGCTCGCCCCTGATCTCCCGCCCCCTCCTCCCCAGCAGCTTCCCTGCTCTGCCCACCTCCGCTCTCTGGGCAGCAAGGACCCAGCTGGGTCTCGTTTCTGGGGTCTGCCAAGCCCAGAGAAGTGCTTCGTGTGTGCAGTGCGTTCTTCCCACCTGCTGGGGACGTGCGGGGTGTTCGACTCCAGAAACACCCAGGTTACGGAACAGGTGGGCTGAAAGGAGCACCGAAGACCTGGCAAGCTGGACACACTGGACAGGTCCCAAAGGACAGGCGGTCTGGGCCTCGGCTCTCAGGCCTGCACGCGGAGGGAACCGTGCCCGGGGAGACGCGTCACCCCGGCTCCTGTCTGGAAGCGCCTTTCCTCACTCCTTTTTCCTTCCTCCCCTGCCAGCCCACCTCTCCCCCCCCCACCCAAAACAAGTGCTCTGGTGGGACCAACTCCAGGTTGCCCCTAACTGGACATAACGTGTCAGCTGGGAGATAGTTCGTTGCAGGGGCAGCACAGGGGTGAGTCTCAGCACTGTCAAGCTGCCCCCAGCCCCTGCTCCACAAGTTCAATCCCCAGCCAGGAGGGACCCCCAGGCCCAGCAGACTCTTCCTGTCTCCCCGCTGCTCCCTCAGCCGTGGATTTCAGTGGATCTGCCTGTTCTGCTCCCCGCTCTGTCTCTGGTGAGTTCTCTCACCTCCTGCACCTCTGGCCTGCACCCCAGCTCATATGAGCATAAATAAAATAAATTTTAAAAAGAAAAAAAGAGTTTATCGCAGCCTCAAAATGACGATAACCCACAAAGCCGTCCCACAGAGCTGTTCCAGTAAACACAAGTTCGAACTCAGCTCATAGAGATCGGAACTGTGAATCTTTGGCATTAGACTTGTAATTATGCCTGACAGGTGGGCTCTGAGCTCCAGGCTGCCCCAAGCTGAAGATCAGCTGATGTGGAGGAAGCCCGGGCGGGAGTCGGTCTCTCCCTTTCCGGAGAGGTGCAAGACCAGGGCTGGCAAACGCTCTCCTGGCCGCGGGGTGCCCCCCGCTCCCCACCCTCTCGTGTCCCTCAGCAGGAACTGGCCGGCTTCATCTGCAGGCCCCAGGCTGTTCCAGCTCTTCTGGTTTTGCTCTCTTGCCTGGTAAACTGGGGGCTGGGGTCTCCCCAGGAATTTTCATAGTCTGTTCACACTGCCCTGTGGCAGAAAGGAGACATCACCCACGCTCACCTGACACGCAGGAAACCCACGTCTGTCACCGGGGCCCAGGGCACATGTGTATGCCTGTGTGCACCTGCATCTTCCTGTGCGCACCCACATACCATGCTGAAGCTCAGTTCTGCCCTGTGAGCTGGCGGGACCAGAGGTGAAGGAAACGGGAGGGGGGAGGGTAAGAAGACCCTCGAGGCACTCTGTTGCTCTAGCTGCGGCGTTTTCCATCTGCGATTAGTACTGGACGCTGGACCAAGCAGAGTTCACCCTGTCAACATGAGCACGGGTCTCACGCAGCACGTTGGAGAACAGTTCACAAAGGCCTTTCACGTACAAGGTCAGCTGTTTTCAGATAACCCCAGTGCAGGACCGGCCCCCGCCTGCAGAGACCAGCTAGCGGGAGGCCGGCCTCGGAGCGTGACGGGAAGGCTCGGGACACTCTGCTCAGTGTCTCTTGTTTTCTCCCTGCAGCTGGACCATTACCCTGCTGTGAGCTACCACCTGCCGAGTTCGTCGGACACGCTCTTCAACTCCCCCAAGTCGCTCTTTCTGGGAAAAGTGATAGGTAAGAACGGGGTGTTGGCAAGCAGGCGTGTGTTCACGTGGCCGGTGGGAAAACCACCCCGGAGCGCTGGACTTTGGATTCTGGAAATACCAGGGGAGCTTCTCTCACTGGCTTCCACTGTGAAAATCTCTGTGCCAGGAAAGGTGGGCTGTCTTCTCCCTGGTGGAGCAGCGACGCCTTACCAGGTCGCGTTGAGGGTAAGTTGCTCCTGTGACGTATTGTAATGCTGTGCATTTGCCGTGGAAACTCGCAGACGGGACTTCTGAGCCCGGATGGCAGTGGGGCCAGCGTCCATGGGCCAGCGTCCGTGGGGCCAGCGTCGTGGGCCAGCGTCCGTGGGGCCAGCGCCCGTGGGGCCAGCGTCCCTGGGGCCAGCGCCCGTGGGGCCAGCGTCCCTGGGGCCAGCGTCCCTGGGGCCAGCGCCCGTGGGCCAGCGTCCAGGTATGTGAGCAGCTGTCTGCGCTGGCTCCTGGCGTCGGTGTGTGCCGGCCGACGGCTTACGCAGCGGGTTCTGCCTACTAGCGATGCTTAACTTTTCCTCCACTGAGTTGACATGACTCTGGTCCACTCACGGGCATCGTTCGCCATCAGAAGGGCGTCCTCCGGGCTGTGGTTTGAGTCAGCCCACCCTGGTCTTCGCAGTAGATCTGTCCACACTGCATGACAGACGTGACTGGTGACGTGTTTGGGGAAAACTTCGCATAAAAGCACTGGATTTCTTTTTTTTTTTAAAGATTTATTTATTTATTCATACAGAACTGGGGTACAGGCCAGAGATGCGGAGG